AGAGTTTGAAGTAACAGGTAATTTGATGTATAATTGGTTGGTGGTTTGATTTGCATTTAGCCAATAAAGCCAATAAAAACTAATCTTGTTTGTTTGAGACTCCACCCACTGTGATCCCCTCACAGGGGGTGGAGTCTGTCTGTGGGAAAATGGCAGACAGAGAGAAAGCAGGGAAATTTAAAGATGGACTCCAGGCCACAAGTTGTTTGTATTGAGAACTTTCTGGAACATAGAACCTCTGTCTATCCAGTTAACTTCATGTTTGTCAAGATTTTTTATTTTTTGGCCGTATGTTCTCCTACATAAAGGCTAAGCTTTTTATTTCTATTTAAAGCTTTTAAGCTAACTTAATGTGGAAGCTAGCATATTACCCCTGTCCCCTCAACAGGTTTTGCCTGTCACACAGATGTACGACATCAGTACAGTAAACCCTTGTTTTTCGCGGGGGTTACGTTCCAAAAAGAACCCGTGATAGGCAAAATCCGTGAAGTAGAAATCTTTATTTTTTTTACAATTAAATACTCAGAAAAAGAAGAGAAAGAACGAACAAACCATTTTACAGTCTCAACCATTTGTTTCACAAATAAAGTAAAATAAAAGTACTTTAGAAACGTTTCAACAAATAACTTCTGTAATGTACTGTCAAATAATAATTTTAATCATCAACGTGAACAGAAGGCTTCAAATTGCGGAGATTAGCACCGCCCACCGTGAACGGGAGAAAATTAAAAATGATTATGAAAAAAATACAAATTACCTGTACAGTCGGACAAATAGTGACTCAGCTTTATTTCACTGCTCTTCAGACTGAGCCGCTGCATCCTGATTTAGCATGTCCAATAGTTTTACCTTATCACCGATAGAGAGCATCCTTTTGGTCCCTACCGCAGGTACTTTTGCCGGTCCAGAGCGTTTTGTCGACATTATGGGGTTTGATAAACTCGAAATTGCAAGAGAATTTGCACGTACGTAATGTCAATTTGGCAAGCTGTTTTACGTACGTGTACATATTAAACCGCAACGTTATTGGCGCACAGGTAGAGAAGAAGCGGAGTGCCTTTTTAGCCAATCAGAATGCAGAACACAAAAGGACCCCATCCCCTGGGAAATGGTTGCTGCATTGGATCGACCGACGCAGCACATTTATTCACATACTTAGACAGAGTGCTGATTGGTCAAAACCCACACATTAGCTTTGACCTGTGAATCAATGAATGATCGACTTGTACGGCAATGGAGTCCAAGTTCAAATGTGGTCAGTGTGTCGTTGACCTTCGTTCCAGCGGTATATTTGGCTCTTTAGCAGAAGTCTATTGATTTGCATTTTTTTTGTGGTGGTAAACAATTCATGTTTTGTATATGGAACATATGTATTTACTCATCAGTGATTATCAGTGTGCACAAGTTAAATGAAGCGGGGACTTTTTTCTTCAAATCTGACATTTGAAAGGACGGAAATAATGTAATTTCCTTAAGACTGAGTTCGACACACGTCTTTGAAACTGCCCACATATATGCTCCTGCCTGCAGAGATGCCAGAGAGGGGAACAATCACAGGTTCCTGACAGCTTGACAGCACGGCTATGGCTGTGAGGGAATTTCCTCTGCAACGATGTGGAGTGGCCTAAAAGCTGTGAGTTATCTGCTGAATCGGACAGTCTGCTGTCAATCAAACACGGTGTCCACTCAACTGCACATTCAGCCTTTCCTGTCATTCCTTTTTTTTTTTAAATAGACATTATTTCTATTGCAGCAGGACTCGGGGTCATTCACAATCAAAAAGTATTTTTAGCAAGCTGTTGGTCCCTCACGGTTCACTGCCCGCAGTACATCTGGGGTAAGTCTGAGGTCATCAGTTGGCACATTTCAGAACACTCTGCTTCAAGCTTCACATACACAGGGAGCCACAAACCAAACATCATCAGTGGTGGATTTATTATGAATTTATTCAAATAACCACAAATGAGCATAACATTTGGATTTACAGATTAATCAGCAAAATGAGCATAACATTTGGATTTACAGATCAGCAATGTTACAATTTTCATCACATTCATTCATCTTTACATAAAATACAGAAATTAGAAAATAGAAAAATAACTTGTCAACTTGGATACTACACAGACTGGTATTTTAGTTAGTAATGAGATCAATAAGTAAAGAACTTAATTAAATCTTTGTTTCATTTTCTTTTAATATTTGAGGATCAACACAAAGGAGCAAAAAAAAAAAAAAAAGCCTGTCTGAAGTTAATGATGAGGTCCGTCACACACGCGGGAGCGTTTGCACAAATTGCGCCATTGAAGATAAACCAAGTGTGACTGTCTGAATTGAACATTTAATTATAATTTAATCTACACGGGACGATGGAGTAACTCCACCAGAACAAAGGCTTTGTGTCGAAATGGGAATTTAATTGGATAGATGAAACTGCGTGCCGCGCAAACCAGCTAACCTGCCTTTTTAATTCATCAGTTCACCAGGAAATATCAGGGTTGTGTTGATGAAATTAAAATCTGATTAAACCCTTTAAGCCCCTGTTTTGTAGCTAGAACTGAGCCTGAGCACAAGAGAATAGGTGGTTAGTGATTGGTCAGGAAGTTAACAGGAAGCACAAGGAACAATAGTTTAAGGCGGTCTGAAAGTGAACTACCACGGTGGCTGAACAAACGATCTGACAAGGAGCGGGAGAAAGGCCAGGGTTTATATGGCAGAAGTGCTTCATCAGTGATTATCCAGGAGGGACCAGGGAAATGTGCCACGCCCACAACACAGGCAGAGACAAGTACACACAACACAAGGATGGGGAAAAACAAGGGGAAACACAGGGAAACAACACGTTTATTAGTTTGCAGGTTCGATTCCCAGTTGATCTTTCTGTTATGGAGTTTGCTCGTTTAAATTGACTGTGAGTCCAAATTGGTGTTTGTCTCTGTATGTGGCCCTGTAATGGACTGGCAAGCTGTCCGTGATGTACCCCGCCGTCGCCTGTTGAATTCTGGGATTGCCCATGCAAAAACATAAGCGCAAGATAATGGAATTTTAATCAGTTTGTTTGACAGCCTCCACTTTGGGAACAACTGCATTAGGGCGTGGTGGCAACCTTTACAGTCGGGTCATTAAACTAAATGGGATTTTCACCCATGCATAAAAGAAAACCAAGTGACTCCTCCATGCCATTTGACAGAGTCGACAAAGTGCTCTTCTCCGAACCTGGTGAAGATTTAGTCTTTTTGGGGGAACAGAAAGAAAGCAGTCGGTTTGACACCTTGTCAGTACCACAACTTTTGTTGCGTTAATTGACAGCGTAGAAGGAAACCTGTGAAGCAAGGAGAAATGAGAGAGTGAGACATAATTGGCCAAATATGAAAAAAGCATTTGAAGGTTGAAGCAGTAACTCTGAGCTGCCGATGAACCAGGAGCCCTCCAAACGGTGTTGCGTATCATTTGAGCAGCATCTGCACTTCATTAGCTTCGAGAGTGACGCACGTAACCCGCACACAGGGCCGTCCTGTTTACTTAGCGCATCCCTGGTCCCTTTAAGAAAAAAAATACGGCGAGAAAAGTCGTTAGCAGAGTGCCTGCAGAAAGTAGAAGCGCCGGTAGAAATTATGACACGCCATTAGAGTTCTGTCTGTGTTGCTGCATCCCAGAGGCTTCATTGAGTCCAATTACCAAAGTCTGCCGTGAGCCACTAAAGATCGGAAATGCAAACGGTTAAAAACGAGGAAAACAGGAAAACAGAGAAAACCTTTATCCTCTGTATTAATCATCGAGCCTTAAACCTGGACCTTCAGCGCTCTCCGACTCTAATGGCTCACAGGCAGTTGCGGGGGGGTTACTCATTACTGTTCAAACACAGTCTCAGTGTTACCTCAGTGTAATGAGGGAGCCCATTACTATGATCTGCCGGCGAGGCCATGCTGTCTTCAAGCTGCAGTTTGCATAGCGTGTTCCAAATTGTTCTTGCATTTCAAATCGTGAAATTGTCTTTCCTGCGAGCCGATAGACCATTTTCTGACTTTTTGTATTTGTGCTGTACCAGGTTTCCCAGTCGTTCGACTGCTTTTTTTTTTTTCTTTTTTTTTTTAAATGCATGAAACTGAAATGTGTGTCCTGGGATTACCTTCTGTTCAACATAAACTTGGGCAGAATAATAGGAAGGATGAGGGAATTGTTTGGTGGTTTAACTCTATCTGCCAGAGCTGAACACAGAAAGCCTTGCTCTTCAGTTTTTTTTTTGTTTTTTTTTTCAAACTGTAGTCTGCGCTTGATAAAATAGAACAGCTGTGTTTCCGTTTCGGCCGTAGAGTATAGGAAATTTGCACTTAGCTGAAAACCCCTTATCTCCCTAAGGTTTTTTTTCTTGTATTATCCTCTTGGTTAAGCTGGAAAAGCTAAGTCAGAGATTCAAAAAAAAGAAGGAATTTTAGACAATTACACACAGAATGCATGGGTTGGCTGTTGTCCATGGTTACATGTGACTTCAGTTTGTCGAACAAACATGCAGAAGTATTATTTTGCAATATTCCAATATTGGACATGTCAATAGACTTGTTTTGGAAGAGGTTTGGAAATGTATGTATGACACAAAGATTTCTGGTGCATATATTTGGACTTCTAAAGTGTCTGTCGACATAGTGTGTATGTGCCATTTTTGTTGATCTGCCAAAAACTGGAAATGTGTCTACAAACAAGCTGTTACAATTTCACCTTTGGTGTCGCAAAGCAGCAGGTTATTATATACAGACTGTTAGCACTGTAAGCATTTAAATGCTAAGTGACACTAGCGTCACTAAGATACAGTTCCCAGTACAGAGCTGGGTTTCAACCAAAGGAACCTTTCCGTGATTGTGGCCAGTTTCCGCTCTGT